ACCTACTCTGTTGAACCTGCAGGGGCCACACACATGTGAACAACTTATATTGTGTCTGATGCAAACAGGGGTCCCAGGGCAGGTATGACATCACTAGCTGTGTGGCATGCCACATGGCTTCTGAGTGCTGCATGTGATTGCTCCTTTGTGTTGGGGATGCAGGTGAGACTGTCAGCAGTATCTGTGCAAGGGGTTTATGAGATCCTTCCACATTGATCTCTCTCTGATTTTAGTGGGTACAAGGGTGGTGGGCCACAGCTTCAGTGGTTGGGGATGGTTGCTGCTGATTCACCCCCAAAGATATCATGTGGGTGGGGGTGCAGGTGAGTATGTCAGCAGTATCTGTGCAAGGGGATTCATGGGATCCTTCCTCCAGCAATCATCAAGGCCAGGTGTCATCGAGTTGAGGTCATTTACTTGTTTGTGCCATATTGAGCTCCTAACCTCCCCCAGTTCTGTAATCTGGCATTGGGAAATATGGGCACTGGTGCAGTTTTCAGTTTCTGAAACTCCGATCTGAGCTGCTGGTCAGGGCATGGTGGACAGGATTCATGGAAGTCAGGGAAAAATGGTGTCATGGCCATACATGCCATTGGCATGTTGATGCACATTAATTATATTTCTTACACTGGTAATATCTTACATAAGCACAGTCATTTTGGCACATTGTTTTTCCTTCATGCACCTCAGTCTTCTCCCAATAGAAACCTGAGGTGAGGTTCCTTTATTATGAGTTACAGCTATCTTACTGAAGCTACAGTGGCTCACAAAATTGTCCCAATGTTTGCATGTTTTTTGTTAATCCTGGTGTAGCAAGTGAACTATCATTATTGAGTCCAAGGTGTTTGTAAAAGGATCAAAGCAGCTGGTCATGGCTCTCTGATGAGCCATATTACATGATATTTGGATAGAAACTGATGACAGAATATCCAAATGAAAATGAGGGCTCATTGGGACAATTTTGTAACTTTGTGATATACATGGGATGTAGTCCTCAGGAACACATAAAAAACATGGTGAGATGCTCACCAATGCTTACATAATGTATCACATGGTCTACTGCATGATTTGTCAACAAACAAACAATGCCAAACAGTGAGTTTGCACCACTAAGCCTCCTTGCTGTAACACAAGTCAAGAAATCACCATTCTGGCTCATCAGGGACATTCTCTCAGGGCAACCTCAGCAAATGCTGCTATACACTATAGTATAATCAATAGAATATGCTATCAGTGGGATTGATCTCTTCAGAAACCTGCTGGAAGTCATCTCCTGTGCTGTTTCCCCACCAATGCCCCATGCAGTCCTGGAACTAATTAGTACTGTGAGAACTAAGAATGATGTAGAGGTCCAACTGGCATAAATCCTATCATAAACAAACCAATCACCCATTAACTAGTGCATTTCTGTGAAGGGGGAACTGGTATGGAGGTCAGGGTGAAGCTAAACCCTCTCTCACTCCAGGTACCATGGGAGGGATATGCTGCTGGGCTATGAGGTTGCACTTTCCTGGCCTTCTATGTGGCACTGGATATTTCCTTTAGTCTTATATGACCAAATAACTCCTTCCCAGTGATCCCCAGTTCAGCTCAGTGTACAGTCTGGCCAACACTTCCATGATACTGGGAGTGCCCAGGAGGGTTGTGCTTCACCTGAGCCTTCAGACAGGCTTTTCTTCAGCACTGATGTAATAGTTAGTGGGTGATTGGTTTGTTCATGATAAGATGAATGCCAGATTGGACCTCTACATCATTCTTAGCTCTCACAGTACTAATTAGTTCCAGGACTGCATGGGGCATTGGTGGGGAAACAGCACAGGAGATGACTTCCAGCAGGTTTCTGAAGAGATCAATCCCACTGATAGCATATTCTATTGATTATACTATAGTGTATAGCAGCATTTGCTGAGGTTGCCCTGAGAGAATGTCCCTGATGAGCCAGAATGGTGATTTCTTGACTTGTGTTACAGCAAGGAGGCTTAGTGGTGCAAACTCACAGTTTGGCATTGTTTGTTTGTTGACAAATCATTCAGTAGACCATGTGATACATTATGTAAGCATTGGTGAGCATCTCACCATGTTTTTTATGTGCTCCTGAGGACTACATCCCATGTATATCACAAAGTTACAAAATTGTCCCAATGAGCTCTCATTTTCATTTGGATATTCTGTCATCAGTTTCTATTCAAATATTATGCAATATGGCTCATCAGAGAGCCATTACCAGCTGCTTTGATCCTTCCACAAACACCTTGGACTCAATAATGATAGTTCACTTGCTACACCAGGATTAATGAAAAACATGCAACCATTGGGACAATTTTGTGAGCCACTGTATTTAGTATCTTCTCCTATTAGGTTAGTTGTACCTCAGTCTTCTCCCAATAGAAGCCTGAGTATCTTCTCTTATTAGTCTGTCACTACTCAGAAACACCCCTTCAGAAGGTTATGAGCCCCACTCAGCTCTAACCACTGCTGTTTTAATTCCAATCACTCTCTAGTTCTGCAAGGTCATGCTAAACAATGTCAAATCCAACTCCATCTATTTCAGTTGGCCCTCAGATGGGTCCCTCTACTGCTACAGTCACTACTCTGTCATCATCTAGCAAGGTTGCTGCTCCCTCAAGTCAGCTCTATGATATTCCATCACTTGCAGATGATGGAGGAAACTTTCAAATGTGGAAGTTTTGGTTACAGAAGGTTCTCAAGATTTGAGGCCTGTGGGAGGTGGTTGGTGGCTCAGCCACAAAGGCTCCTGATGCTGCCACTCACCCAGACAAGCATGTGGAGTGGATGATGAAAGAGAGGGAAGCCAGTGCATAGATTACCCTGACACTCAAGGATGAGCTTCTGAGTGGGGTCATGTATGCAAAAACTGTGTTGGAGATCTGGAAGTGCCTTAGCAAATGGTACAAGGGCAAAGGGAAACAGACAATTGCCTACCTCATTGGAGAACTTTTTGTGGAACCCTTGTCAATGATAGCCCAATGGAGACTCAGCTAAATGCAATGTGACAGAAGGTGCTCATACTGAACTTGCTTGAACAGACTCTCGATGAGTCACTGGTTCCAATTGTGATGGTGATCTCCTTACCTGCTTCATACTCAGTCCTTTGAACCATTCTCATGTCAACAAATGACAAGTTGACTGTGGACTCTGTAATCTTGCAAGTCCTCATAGAGGAGAGGATGTGCCAGGGCTCACAGGGTCACTCAGCCCTCACAGCCAGAACTGGTGTGAAGTCAAAGTCTAAAGGGAAAGGGAAGGAAAAGTCAAAGATAAAGTGCTACAACTGCAAGGAGGTTGGGCATACAAAGAACAACTGCCCAAGCCTGAAAAAGAAGGCAGATGATGAGAAGACTCCATCCTTGTTGGAGAAGAAAGAGAAGGGAGCAGACAAGGCCAATCTCACAGTGAAGGTTGCCCAAGTGGTTGAGGATCCAGCTCTTCAGCTGTTCATGGCATGTGCAAGTCCAGAAACCAGCCCCTCAGAGTGGGTGGTAGACTCAGGTGCATCAGCACATACAGTGGCTCACAAAATTGTCCCAATGTTTTCATGTTTTTCATTAATTGTGGTGTAGTGAGTGAACTATTGTTATTGAGTCCAAGGTGCTGGTGGATGGATTAAAGTAGCTGGTCATGGCTCTGTGATGAGCCATAGTACATAATATTTGGATACAAACTGATGACAGAATACCAAAAGGAAAATGAGAGCTCATTGGGACAATTATGTAACTTTGTGATATACTGGAGATGTGGTCCTTGGGAACACATATAAAACATGGTGAGATGCTCACCAATGCTTACATAATGTATCACATGGTCTACTGAATGATTTGTCAACAAACAAACAATGCCAAACAGTGAGTTTGCACCACTAAGCCTCCTTGCTGTAACACAAGTCAAGAAATCACCATTCTGGCTCATCAGGGACATTCTGTCAAGGCAACCTCAGTAAATGCTGGTGTATACTATAGTATAATCAACAGAATATGCTATCAGCACCATTGGTCTCTTCAGAAACCTGCTGGAAGTCATCTCCTGCACTATTTACCCACCAATGCCCCATGTGTCCTGGAACTAATCAGTACTGTGAGAGCTGAGAACAATGTGGAGACCCAATCTGACATTCATCCTATCATAAACAAACTAATCACCCACTAACTACTACATCACAGTTGAAGAAAAGCCTGCCTGAAGGCTCAGGTGAAGCACAACCCTCCTGGGCACTCCCAGTATCATGGAAGGGTTGGCCAGACTGTACTCTGAGCTGAACTGGGGATCACTGGGAAGGAGTTATTTGGTCATATGAGACTAAAGGAAGTATCCAGTGCCTGATAGAAGGCCAAGAATGTGCAACCTAGTAGCTCAGTAGCATATCCCTCCCATGGTACCTGGAGTGAGAGAGGGTTTAGCTTCACCCTGACCTCCATACCAGTTTCCCCTTCACAGAAATGCACTAGCTAATCAGTGATTGGTTTTTTTATGATAGGATGAATGTCAGATTGGACCTCCACATTGTTCTCAGTTCTCACAGTACTGATTAGTTCCAGGACACATGAGGCATTGGTGGGGAAACAGTGCAGGAGATGACTTCCAGCAGGTTTCTGAAGAGACCAATGGTGCTGATAGCATATTCTGTTGATTATACTATAGTATACACCAGCATTTACTGAGGTTGGCCTGAGAGAATGTCCCTGATGAGCCAGAATGGTGATTTCTTGACTTGTGTTACAGCAAGGAGGCTTAGTGGTGCAAACTCACTGTTTGGCATTGTTTGTTTGTTGACAAATCATTCAGTAGACCATGTGATACATTATTGTTGCAAAAATGTTTAGGGTCATGACAATGATGACAAATTGTAATACACATTATGAAACCCCTCTCCTGCTTAATAATGATCATCGTAATGTTCTGGCAATGCAACCGAGATATGATAATCAATGAGTTCCATTATCTTCAGGGTAAGATTGCCATAAGATCATCACAGCGGCATTGCAATGTGGTGGCTTGCACTGCATGTTGTTGGTACATACTTTAATCCTCACGATCCCCTGCCCTTTTTCCTGAACCACTGCAATCCCTTTGTCTTCAGCGTTTTGGAAATGGCCCCCATTCGTCACACAAAATATAACTATTCAGAGAAAACACTTTCAAAAACATCAAAGTGCCAAATCTGTGGAAAACTATTCAAACCTCAGGGCATCAAGAGCCATGCGACACACTGTGCAGCTTGTCAAACAAGGGAAATACAACAAATAGACGCTACTAAGGAATATGAGAGGGAAAAGGAGCAAGGTGTGTCCAGTTTTCACTGTGTATTGTTCTCAGCTGAGGAATTGAGGGTAGCGTTGGTCACATCTGCATACTCAACAGTGCGCATGCACATCACGCAGGCAGGCCCTTCTCAAGCAGCCCACATGCTTAGTGAAGATAACAATGGATTGCCAAGTATGTTTCATTCAACCTATGATATACCTGCACTGAAGGCCATTTTCTTTACAGCTCCCAACATTTCTCACTCAGGACACATGGATTTTGTTGATCAGGACATGTGGGAGCCTCATGGAGATCCTGCTGCACAAAGTGGTGAGTGCATGAACTCAGTGCTACCTTGTTTCTGAGTGCGCCATACTAAGTACATACATGCTTGATATGAATAGATCAATCAAATGTCTCCATGGCAAGTAATGGCAGTGACTGAACGCCATCCCCTGAACAGCTGCCTGCTGACTTCAAGACTGAGTTCCGTCCCTGCAGCAATACCCCATCACTTTTCCAGTCACAAGAAGAATTTGGTCAGCATGCTACTGCTATGATGGCCCCCAATCCACACCCATGGTGCCCATTTATTGAGGAGGGCGACTACTTGTTTGCTGAAATAGCATTGCAAGCGGGCCTCAATGCATCACAGATCAATGGGCTGCTTTCCCTCATTTCACGCATTGTCCAAGGAAAGGCAAATGTTACCTTGCAGAACAATGCTGACCTTCAACATGCATGGGACAGGGTGGCCATGCAGGTGACACCAGTACATTCTTTCTCTTCATACACCATGAGCTTCCATGCATTCATCCACAAGCTTCTACTCTAGTTTACACAACACAATGTGACTGCACCTTATAAAGGAGAGAACTTAACATTCCCAGTTTATGCATGTTCATTATGGGAGTGGGCTCTTGATCTCTTATTGAACCCCCTCCTTGCACCTCACTTCATCTGGGATGCCCAATGGGTCTTCTGACATAATGGCCATGAGTACAAGAGATTCTACTCAGAACCATGGACTGGTGATTGCTGGTGGGAGATTCAAGTATGTTGTAATAACCTGTATACTTTGTATATACTGTGTTTACAGCAGTTTGCAGTACCGAGGGCACTGGCCAAACACAACAAAACTCATAGGTATCCTAGATAAAATATATATCTCAAATATTTCACTCAATTCTTGATGGATCTGAAAGAAAATTTGATATTCTGAATCAGCATTATCAGCTCTAGGGGATGATGTAGAAATCATGATGAAATAGCCGCTATTTTGGACAGGAAAAATACTTGGTCATTCTGAGCATATAACAACAATTGCAAGTGATTTACATATTTCTATGGCTGTAAATGCCTCTAGCCATGATCTATACACTGGTGGTGAGGGAACCATGGTGAAAATCCAGTGGTTTTTCCATTGTTTTGTACCAACAGAGAGCAATCTGCACTCCAAATGGTGCCAATCATGTAACAAAAATTGCTCACTCCACATTGCATATTTTTTTACAAAAGTTTCAGATCCATAAAGCCCTTCAAAATACCTAGGGAACAGTATCATACAGAAATGCACTTTGTTTTGCACTTGTTGAGGTAGTTGTCCATGCCTGTCTTATCTTTGTGTGTGAGTTGTACATGCTGACTAATGAGCCTCATCCCAGACATGCACCGCACACAACATGTCTTCCTCATGGGTAACAAAAAGTCTGCAAGTGCTCGCAGGCTGCGAAAAACTGGCTCCCGAAGCAGTTTGCCCATCAATCAAGTTCCTGACACTAGCTCCATCTGTTCCCAGGACATGGCACCTCATTCGGAAACTCCTGACCTTGACAAGGATGGCCTTGGTATCACACCTGATGACACTGATGGCACTTTGGCACACTCTCCTGTTGACACACTCAAGTGAAAATCCATCCAGCTCAGCGTCAAGCCAGTATCTTGCAAGGAAAACTCCCCAGAACTTGACAAAAGTATGTTATTTTGTCTTGCAATGTACTTGTCACCCCTTACTACCCTGATTTATTAGATGTCATTTTACTGGTGCCTCAAGCAGCAAATGAGGGATCCAAGTGCCTTGTTTTCTCACAATGGACTCCATTTTCAGAGGTCCTGGATGAAATCTACAGCACTATTGGGTGTCAGAATTTTGCATGCAAACCTATGCTCTCATACAAGCTCTCAACTTCTGCTCAGAAGGACAATGCCATCAATCTTGGAATGCTGGCTGACTGGGATGGATGCTTAGAGGAGGTAAATTCTGCATGGAAGAAGAAGAAAGACTCAGTTGTCTCAGTCAAGATTCTTGTTAGTGAACAGGTGCGTTTCAAATTGTTTTGTGGTCAGTATGATACTTATTCATTGTCAAAACTAGTATATGTCTACCCTACATGCAATGTGTGGCAAGAAGAAGCCACCAGGAAAAGGCAAAAATCCTCCCCTTCTCAATCTTGACAATGACGGATCCAGTGCAGATGACGAAGACAGCACTGTGATTGAAAAGGAAAACAAATCCCTCATGGAGCTGGAGAAGTCACTGAAGTTGTGTCAGCGTTGTGGTCCCTCCAAATACTGCAAGATCAACCATGCTGGCCAACATGTAAACCTGACATTCAACCAGCATTGAGGGTGGGCACTCACACTTGTAAGTTTCATTGTTAGTGGCTACATCGATCAATTTACTGATGGTGACAGGGACATGAGATGCATGGAGTCACACTGAAGACCCCACCAAAAGGCAATCTATTTTCAGAATTCCATGCTCCACAAAGTGACAAGACCTCGTCGACATCAGCCACACAAATGCCCCTCAACAGTCCCTATATGTCGATGTATGGATGGCCCCCCATGCCCCCCATGCCCCCAATGATGCCTCCATGGATGGTGCCTCCAGTGTATCAGGCTCCAGCAACTCCAGTGACACCTACTGTGGGCGAGAAGCGAGGTGAGCTGTCTCCCAGTGAGCTCAACCATGACACCTGGCCAACATATCCAATGATTGTCGACTTCCTCACCAAGCTTGATGCAAGTTTTCTGAAGTGCAAACTATCTGTTTATATTCCACAATTCGAAGCAATGGACTTTTACAACATTGACGAACTTAGAAGCCTGAGCAAGGAACAGCTCATGAAGGACTTTGGTATGAGCCTCGGGAATTCACACTTTTTACTGTCTGAGGTTGCACAAGCTGTTTGGCAGGTAGAACACAAAAAACACACAGGGGTAGAGTAGATACTCCCTACATACATCATGTCCTTTGCAGTAATCATTATAGCAAGCATACATTGCACAAATTTCGGGTATGCATCAGTGTGACAACCAACATACATGTTGCATACAGACACAAGCTACAAAGCTACAAATATCCTGCATTATGGAACCACCCATGTGCAGCTTCTGGAGTGACTGTATCAAGTGTGCCATAGAGAAACAAATATGGAAGTGTTTTGTCTCCAGATTCAATGATAGCATGGAACTGATTGCCATGGTGGCGAATGTAGGCCTTCAAGTACAAGAAACACTCTTCAATTGGGTTCAAATCAGGGGAATATGGAGGTAGATAAACAAGTTTGACACCACTGTAATAGTTACTTGAGTATGTGTACTGAAAAAAAAAAAAAAGAAAAAAAAAAACATACTGTTCCCAGCAGAGTTCTTCTACACCATCAACGTGATGGATTCTGCAATTATCCATCACAAGTACACTATGAGGGGCGAGATATGGATTCATGACGTCAAGGAGTCCACAAAGATAGTTGAGAAAGTGATTGCCATTGTACGCACCTACTTTGATATGGCTGTAAATTATCCCACTCATTGTCAGAGCTGGAAGGATGGAATATCTGTTGGAAAGAGTGTTATGTAAAGAAGGCAACATCATATGGAGAATACATACTGTGTCCCACGAATGAAGTTGCAATGCTTGTGTGCCCACATACTAGAATGGCTCCATCCATTCAGGCAAAACATCGTAAGTACATTCACAGCACTTTCATCAATACAGACAATGTGGTCAGGAGAGTCTTCACCAATTGCCATGGTGAACTCGCGATGTGCTTCCTCACTGCGCTCGCTGGCAATTTGAGAAAGCTAAAATATGATGATGTCAGTGTCTGAAAATTGAGATCAAAGCATATGTGTCATACCTTTTTTGAAGACAGACCCAAACGTTTGAGTGTATGCCATATTGTTGCAATAAAGACTTCAATGTTGTGAAGCAAGAGTAATTGTTGCTGAATTTCTTCAAGATAGAGGTCAGGGGAATGTTCAAGAAGTGCCAGCATGAACTAAGATATGGATATGATCAGCTCTTGATGCTATTTCCAATGTTAGAACGATTTAGACATACCTCTACTGCCGTTTCAGACATCAAAGGTATGTGCCCATCCATTTGTCATTCATTGACAACTTCACCAGTTTCACAGTATGTCTTGAGGACACGTTGAATGACTCAAAGTGGCATGTCGAGTGGAATGGCAATAGAAGTTGTGGTCTGACCAAGTACATGAGCTTGATAGACGATTCGCTGCTTGAGATCTCGAGAGTATCGCCTGCGGGTATGACTAGAAAAGTGCCTTCTGCATGCCATATGGAAATCACTCACATGCTCGCAGGCCAGTACCACAGAATAACATGCTCACGCATCAAGGCAGCTGACTTGATTAGTCAGCATGCACAGCTCACACACAAAGATAAGACAGGCATGGACAACTACCTCAACAAGTGCAAAACAAAGTGCATTTCTGTATGATACTGTTCCCTAGGTATTTTGAAGGGCTTTATGGATCTGAAACTTTTGTAAAAAAATATGCAATGTGGAGTGAGCAATTTTTGTTACATGATTGGCACCATTTGGAGTGCAGATTGCTCTCTGTTGGTACAAAACAATGGAAAAACCACTGGATTTTCACCATGGTTCCCTCACCACCAGTGTATAGATCATGGCTAGAGGCATTTACAGCCATAGAAATATGTAAATCACTTGCAATTGTTGTTATATGCTCAGAATGACCAAGTATTTTTCCTGTCCAAAATAGCGGCTATTTCATCATGATTTCTACATCATCCCCTAGAGCTGATAATGCTGATTCAGAATATCAAATTTTCTTTCAGATCCATCAAGAATTGAGTGAAATATTTGAGATATATATTTTATCTAGGATACCTATGAGTTTTGTTGTGTTTGGCCAGTGCCCTCGGTACTGCAAACTGCTGTAACTTGCGCTTGCTTTTAGTCTCATTTACCTCAGGTTGAAAATGTGGCCCTGTTTGCTTTTATCCTATATGCTGACCAAACACATCTAAGTTCCCACGGAACTGTCAAGGGTTATCCTGTCATAGCTCATTGTGGAAATCTGCCCACGAACATCAGGAATGGAGAGTGCTTTGGTGGTGGATGTGTCATCGGCTGGTTGCCTATTGTAAGTTACTGAGTGCAGGCTTCAGCATCCTTGCTCATGTATATTATGCAAGGTTCCCAAGTCCGCCAAAGAAGAGGGGAAGACTGGCTACACCAATTACAAACACATTATTTGGCATGAAGCATTCCTTTGTATCATTGATAGACTTGCCGAACTCTCAAAGCTAGGATACAAATATGAGTGCTATGACAAGATCACTCAGTGGCTCTTTCCCTTGATTCTCATCTTATCTGCTGATTATGAAGAACAGTAAGTTGAGGGCACTACAAGTGCACATTGACATACTAATAACTATGTTGACATTAGATGCATGATGAGCCTAATTTGAGGCATGAAGAGTAAATGACCATGCCCAGTTTGTTTGGTTCCCCTTGAGGATTTATCCCAGCTTGCCAAATCATTTCCAATGTGTACCATAAGACAGGCAAAAGAAGCCCTCACCATCTATCAGGAAAAGAAGTCAGCTGGTGAACCGATCCTCAAAGCCCTCAGGCTTTGGCCGGTTGTGGTGAGTTTTGTATTTATTAGTGACTCTTGCCAACCACGTAACCAAATCACAAGAATGTTTTCTGGAAGGTTGAGAACTTGGAGCCGGAGGAAGCTGTGAGCTTCGACTGCCTCCATGCTCTGCATGACAGTCTTTTTGGGCACCACTTACTCGAAGAACTCAAGATTCTTTTAAGCAAATTACCGCGTAAGTATGCAGTGCAACTTGAGGAGCAGTACGTACTACCCTCTATTTACTTCGCTAAGACATCCTAATCCTAAATTGAATGCAGGCTTGCAGCATTTCCAAGCTGGCAAGGTTTGGCACACTTCAATGGCATCCTACATGTAAGCTATGCTGATGGGAACAAACTCCGAGATCTCGTGCAGGTGAGATTCTTCTTTTGACTTCCCGGTATAAGCTAATGAACTCACAAGCAAACCTTCTACACTGCTTTGAATATTCTGACAAACAATGTAAGCCGTGAAGGCTACCAGCTCCTATGGATGCTCTGCAGCTACTTAGAATTGGACAGTCTCATTGGGCTGGACGTGCACATTGACAAGACCCTTGAATTGATAGAGAGGGAGCAGTTGGTTTTTGGGAGTGAGCTAAAGGTACGTGATATTTCCTTGCTGTTTGAGTTGACTGTTGATCCCCCACTCTGACCTAGGAGTATGTCTCCCATGTGGCTAATGGTGAGCTAGCAGAACACCTCAAAATGGACTGGAATTTTCCAAAGGTCCATCTTTGGAAACATGTTGTGTGGGACATTCAGAATAAAGGAGCAGCCCATAACTACAGCACTTGGCCCAACGAGAAAATGCATGGCTCACTTAAAGATGCATATCAGGACTGCTCAAATGGTAAGGACGTTGCTGTTCAGGTGCATCCAGCTTCTGCTCTTCTCATCTCACTCAGTCATGCTGACCTGAAGTCACATAGGTCCTTCGTGTTGACCACCACCACTTAGCCATGAAACTAATTAGGAACCAGGTGGATGCTGAAGCCAATCGTACACAGCAAGATTGCAATGATGATGATATTGATGGCAGGGGTGATGAGGATGTCCTCATGAGTTTCAGTGAGCATGTTAAGCTTGGTTCACCACAGTCACCGAAGAGCATTCAATCGATCATTCGTGATCATGCTTCACAGCAAGAATTCCAAGGTTTCCATCAGAAGTTTACTTGGTTCGTCAATCAGTGCCTTCCTATCTACCTCAATTGCGACCAGAATTCTTGGAAAAATATCTCATTTGCCAAAACATTCTAGGTATGTTTTGCCATGTTGCATAGTAGTCATTACCCCATCCCACAATGACCTATGCATGTAGTTGCAGGAACATGCTTACCTCAAGGTCAATTACAAATCAAGGATGGACTGGCAGCAAGCTACTGACTACCTATGGTGCAACCCTTTGTTCCATGGCAAGCCTCGTTATGACACTGTCCTCTTTCAGCTTTCACATAGTGAGATTGCTTTTGCTTGCTTGGTATTCATGTTTTTGTGCAATATTCCTGACTTTGGCACCTATCAATTTGCTCTCATTTGCCCCTATACAGCCAACATCAATGCAGCTTGCAGCTCCTTCAACAATGCCTTCAGGCTCACATGCGTTAAAGCATGTCCCCACACAGCATTGATATTCATGCCCATCCAGTCCATTGTTAGGGGAGTGTTGCTGTACCCTGACCCCAAATATAAAGACGAATATTTTGTGGTGGAGCACATCAATGGAGACATGTTTTGTCACGTCAACGAGTGGAATGGGCATCATCTAGACCAGGAGTAAGGAAATGTTATATTGTACTTTAGATAGCTGCTCTCTTTTCCTCATACCAATGCTCTGTGCTAGCATATTCTGAATCTCTCACTGGATCTCTAACAATGATACAGTTTATCCTTCAAATCATTGTCACTATGTTTTGAGTTACTAATTCCGATCTCTTGAGTCATAATATTGCATGTTTACTGACATCATGTCAACTCAATAACATCAAAGCAGCAGTGGCAGGGCCTTTATCTGGACTACAACAAATGGTATTACTCCTACAGACACATTTGAATGGTGAGTCTGCTCTTATCGCCATTCCGATTGGTTCTCCTGGCTGCCATTCTAACTTGGTATGCTCTACTGGTAGGTAACAGTGAGGTAAGATACCTCAACAATGTTGCACTGGCATAAATGGTTAGTCAACTTCATTTCTGTCTTTTGCCTCATTGAACACCCTTCAAAAGGATCTGCTCAGCACCAATGTTGAGTATGAGGACCTCACCCCCAATTTGTTACACACTGGTCATGGAACATCAGCTGCAACCTCGACTAGGTTTGTTTTACTGGTTTCCAGCAATGTCCAAGGATTTTACTCTAGATATCGACACTGTGGGCCATGATAGCCTTGACAAGAATACCGATAATGATGAGGATGTCCCACGCACAGCAAACCATGGGGCGGCCAGAGGTGCAGGCGCTAACTTGGACAGGGAACTTGACAAGGTGCGAAGGGTTATGGCTACCCCTGCACCAGATGCGAGCCCTGCTGAGTTGTGCCAGGTATGCATTCTGACCTGCCTATGAGACTGAATATTACTGACTACCACTACTAGGCACTGGGCCAAGTGCAGGTCTCCTTTAATCGCCTACAAGAGGAACTAATAAAGACGAGGAACAAGCTAAACAAATTTAAGGCCAAGGTAGCACCCAGAGCATGATCCCAGGCCCTCAAGTCAATCGCTCAAGGCCTGCTGGATGCTGCCATTGTCACCCTAGCAAAGAAGTATGCTTACTTTTATCACTTATGGGTCCCTAGCAGCGTCTTCCCTCTTCGTGCATGCCCTCCCGACTTTGATTTACATGATCCAATACATTATCAAACTCCTGAGTCCAAGGCCATTGCTAATGGTGCCAAACTTTACCTTATGGTTCCCCCTGAGCTTCGGGCTCAGACTATGAAGTATGAACACTTCAAGCAACTCATAAGTGAAGAATACCTAATCCAGCAAACGATTGCTAACTATTGCTTCTCACAGTTCACATCTATGGTGAATGGAAAACATGGCAAAATTCTTAAACCTGTCAAGGACTCCGTCACACAACTCTTCGCTCATTTGAGTCCAGGACTGGATCTGGTGGCACTTGGCGACTGGAGAAAGAGAACAGACAATCCTGCCTTTTTGTCACTCAAGCAAAACCCAGCAAACCATGATGAGGTGTATACACCACTCGCACCAATCCTTTTTGAAGACCCATCAGCAATGAATGTCTCCGGCCTCTTCAAAAACAAGGCACTCACTCAGGTAAACCACTTCCTGGCTGAATGTATTGGACATGCTCACAGCTGATTGTCTTGTTATATTAGATTGCATGTGTGTTGCACTTCAGAAAAGGCGTCCTGACAGGCAAGAAAAAAGGTGGTCCACCCAGCAGGGGTCAGAAATTGAAGGTGACAACAATGCCAGAGGGCATCATTGCAATTTGTTGTACATTCGTGAGTCAAATTACATCCTACCTGCACTGACAGCCACCCACTCATCATACATTGCTAGGCCCACTTCCTGCTCTCTGTGGATGATGAATTCTCATCTACTGGTAGTCAAACCAGAATTTCATATGAGAAGGACTTCAAATTCTATATAGAGCTGCTCCAAAAACAAGAGAACAAGAAGTGGGCTTTGGGGATCTTTGAGCACTTTGATAATGCTGTCTTTGGTGCAAACCAACATGATGGATCCCAACAACCACCTCCCGAAGCTGAAGATTCTGTTGAGGTGCCAAGAAGCTGGGAAGATGATATCTTGGCACAACTCAGAGGTGTCAGTGGGACTGCAGAGGTAAACTCGAACCCTCCCACTGTCCCCATCACCAGCCAGTCAGCTACACACCCTTCCATTCTCACCAGCACCATTCAAGCTGAAGACTTCCCTCCTCCTCAGATACATACAAACTCACTTGGTGCCACCAGCACTGCCTGGGGGAATGGCACTTCCATCTCTGGTGCTATTCAGCCAAATACAAAGCTTAGTATTTCTGTTCTAGAGGCTGGGACCATCTCTCCTTCACAGTCAGTGATTGTGTCAGCAACCAGTTCAGAACTCTCCCTTCCCCTCTCCACTCTTTCTCTTGGCAGCTCCCAACCATCTGTTTCGACCCATCTGAATCCTCTTGACCCCCTTGTTGTCATGCCAGCCTTAGTGAGTGGCTGTTCCTCCAAGGCCACTAAGAAAGGCAAGAAAGCAACCCAAGGACAGGCTAAGGTGACGGAGGAAGGCATTGGGGCTGTTCCAGCAAGGGTTACCCATGTTACTAGACAAAAGAAATAGTGATACCTCCACTATGGCTCATATAATGTTTCACACATACTGACTATTGTGGTGATACATAGTTTCTTTCAATTGCATGTCCGCTGATCTACCCTGAACATGCAGACTAAGTGAGGCTCAAGAACGCTAATTAACTGTCTCTGAACAGCACGTTTGAATGGTTCAGATGGACCTGACTTCGCAGTGATCAGTTTATGTCAAGCTCATCAATCTCGAGGAGTAAGGATGGTTCAGGTCCATTCATCATCAGACATGAAAGGTGAGCCTGAGGTAATGTTGACAGAATGGGGTCACTCCGCCCATATTACCCAGTCGACTGGCCACTCAGTTGCCATTAGCTGATGGCATGCGAGTGGGAAGAAAGCCCAGTACGTTTTGCAAGGTGCTGCAGGGGTGATGTGACTTACCCCACAAACAAAGAACCCACTGCACCCCAGAGAAGATCATTTTCTGACAACCCTGTCGCTCAAACACTTCATAATGTACAAGACACAATTTATCAGAGATGCTCATGCCAAGATGGTCACTCTGGATGATTAGAAGGTTCTGCTTAGCTTGCAACCTTGTCGTCATATCAACTCGACCACTCATAACCTCAGTGGACTCACACCCTCAGTCAGCACTGCAGCCTCTGTTCATCGCAATGGATCTCATATCAATGCTAATTCAGCTTGTTACTGTCACTGTGTATGTTTTCATCATTACCATGCTGGGGTTGGTCTTCTGACCTACTCAGTATGTGTTCAGCATGTCTGAACTGGCATCGTATTCATATCAAAACAATCCAAATAACGTTTATATGTTGAATCGAGGAGGAGTCTTTGATTTGACTGCCATGGCAGCGACACATCAGTGTGTCTTTAGCATGGTGTCGACCAAGTCTGTCCTCCAGTATGGTGGCATGGCTTCAGATGTGATTTTCCCTGTGCAGGGTATCTTAGTGTGGTCTCCTCCGATGTAAAGACATAGGTGAGCATGCTATGTAACAGTGTCTCAGGTTCTGTGAGCCCCTGGGTGACGTTCAACTCCGCCAACAACACTGACCCCAATGCTCAGTACCATGACTTCTGTGCTTTTACCAATGACTCTCGCCTGAACTGGTATTTCAAGAGCATGATGATCATGTGGTGGAATAATCGCATTGGGTATGTCAGGTACACACCTTTGGAGATTAAGGATATGGCCAATAGTGGATTGTCAGTCAGGATCCTCGATGGGTTGATCTATGATTTAACCACATATCTCAGCTATCCGCCTGCTGTCATTACCCCTACCAGTATGCAAGCGAGCGGAGGCATCGACACACAATTCATGAGTTCCACCATCATCGATTTGTTCAAGATCAACTCCAGGCAGGATTTTACGAAGAAGTTCAAGGATGGTCTTGGACTTGATTCTGCAACACTTGAAAGCCAGAGGATGTGTCTTTGCAATCTATTCTTGATCAGTGCAGTCGACAATCGAAATTCACCTCAGTGTCTGTTCTTGCAATATATCTTGCTCATCCTTTCAGTTCTCATGGTCTGCATCATCGGGTTCAAATTCATTGCATCGATCAATTTTGGGGCTGTTCATGCACCCAAGGACCATGACAAGTTTGTGATTTGCCAAGTTCCATGTTACACTGAAGGCGAGGTGTCACTTTGGCATATGATCAATTCATTGGCTGTGCTCAAGTATGACGATAAGCACAAACTGATCCTCATCGTGTGTGACAGGAACATTGTCAGATCTGGCAATGATCGCCCAACACCATGTATCATGCTTGATATTCTGGGTGCTGACCTGAACTTGGACCCTGAACTGCTCGGTTTTGTATTGATTGGCAAGGGTGCCCAATAGCATAATATGGCCAAAGTGTACTCGGGTCTGTACAAGTGTGCTGGACATGTTGTGCCTTACCTTGTGGTCGTCAAGGTTGGGAAGCCGACAGAGAGGTCACGTCCTGGAAATTGTGGTAAGTGTGATTCACAGATGGTGGTCATGCATTTCTTGAACAAGGTATGTTGGTTCACATTTACGTGAGTTTTTGGGCGCTGACAGTGGGTTTTTAGGTGCATTACAATATGCTGATGAATCCCCTTGAGCTCGAGATGTATCACCAGATCAAGAACATCATCGGTGTCAACCCGACATTTTATGAGTATCTATTTGCCATCGATGCAGATATGACTGCAGAGCCATACACACTTAACTGCCTCATTTCTGTGTAAGTCATGTTGTGCTGCTTGGTAGGGGATTCGAGGAAACTGACCAGCCATAGAATGATTCATGACAAGAAAGTCCTTGGCGTGTGTGGTGAAACATCCCTCGCCAATGCCAAACAGTCGATTGTGATGATGATGCAGGTGCATATAGTCCCTGCGATGTCTTTGTTTGGTGCGAGGGCTGAGGGTGGTTCATTAGGTGTATGAGTACTTCATCTCCCATCACATGGCGAAGGTGTTTGAGAGTCTGTTCGGCTCACTCACTTGCTTGCCTGGTTGTTTCACCTTGTTCCGTCTGCACATGCCAGACACGCACAATGTCTCCAACCAAAAACCCTATTGCTCAAACACTTCCTGATGTACAAGACACAATTTATCAGGGACGCTCATGCCGAGACAGTTGCTCCGGACGATTGGAAGGTTCTGCTCTCACAATGTCATCATTGGATCAACTCGACCATTCATAATCTTGGTGAACTCATGTTCCTGGATCAGCTTTGTGGTTTCTGTTGCTTCTCCATGTGTTTCATTGTCATGATGGATCTCGTATCGATGCTGATTCAGCCTGTCACCATCGCATATGTAGGTTGATTCATTGTCCTTGGAGCGTGATGATGCTTATAAGATTACAGATTGTCTACTTGATTGTGTTGGTCATTTATGAGCACAGTACCATCCCCTTCATCTTCCTTGTCATGATTGCTGCCTGTGTACAGCTTGCAAGCCTTTGTGTTCGTTCTGTGTTGCAAGTGGGACATGGTTGGATGGATGGATTTCTATATCTTGGCCATCCCAATTTTCTCATTCATGCTTCCAATCTACTCATTTTGGCATATGGACGATTTCTCATGGGCATGCCACATGTGTGTTGTACTGGGAGAATCTGGAAAGAAGATCATTGTTCATGTAGGTGGCTTAATCTTGAATGCATTATGTTGCTGATTCACTGTTATTGTGTGCATTAGGATGAAGGCAAGTTTGATCCTCACTCTATTCTCCTCAAAACATGGAACAACTATGTGCATTGTCATCCCACCATTTGCTTTGACAATAAAGGACCTGACATCTTGCAGGAAAATGATTTGTGGGACCGAGAATCCAATCACAGCATCAGCTCTTGGGTACCCCCCACCCAATTCTGCAAGGAAGGATTGTACTGCATCCCTGTATGACCACGAAAACCTTTTACGAGCCTTGTACCCAATCACCCTGCTCCCTCGCAGTTTTGTGTACTCCTAGCTGGTATGCAATCTGGTTGCAATACTCCTCTGTCGATGGCAATGTCATATATACATCCTTGAGCAAAGCTGGAATACTACCTCAACAGATGCTCTCAAGACCCCCTGACAACTTATATGACGCACAAGATGGACTTTGGAGCTGTGGTGCCAAGCGATGTTGACCTGGAGCATGCTGTTCAGAATATTTTGCAAACTGCAGACCTGAATACCATCACGAAACACATAGATTCTAAATTATTTGACATCATCTGAAGCTGGGGGCAGCAGTTTGGGATGGATTTATGTTTGAGCACCACATTATAGTACTTGGGGGTTCATCATGCAATCAAACTACTGTCCAATGTGGCAAGGACCTGCTCAACATTTAATTTGCAGTGCGATGTAGTAGACCTTTGGATGTGATTATGCCGATGATATTATATTATTATATTACCATTCTTTGATGATTACTATAATAAGACGCTGGTCTATGTCAGGATTCTTTTCAGCTAATTTTAATTTTAATACTCTTGGTCTGCAACCATGACCATGCCTGTTCACCACAACCATGCCCGTTCGCCACAGTCATACCCCTCCTGCAGTCTGCATACATTCTGCTGCCTTCGTATACCATCCCTCCTGATACTCCAGAGGCATCTCCATCTTACTCTATGCCAGAATCCACCTCCTCGGCTTCCTCTGCTGTGCCCCCACCATGCACTAAGACACGACCATTGTCACCATTGACAATGACCCTACCAATTCATTCCTTGTTCTCCCAAGTTAAGTTCCATGTCACTAAGGACACATTGAGGGTGCTGAGATCTCCAGCAACAGCAACCAATCTGCTTGCTCTTCTCTGTCATCGACCCCACCAGAATCAATTAATAGACATCCTTGTCTATATTCCCATGTCAGTCCACCAGCACACTGCACTCCCAGGTCACTGAACTTTATTTTATGCAGATGGTGCCATCCCCCCCCCCTCCCCACATGTACCCCATCACCTCCTCACATGCAACATCATTCTGATGCCCACACCTGCTGTATTGCACCTCTGATACCTAGATGCCTGACAACCTCCTGCCCCCTCTATGCCCTCACTTTGCCTGTCCATGCCTGGTGTTCATCTCCCCCAAAACTGTTGCAGTGCGCTGATAGCCCTCAAGGCTTAGTGAGGTAGGTGGCTTTCTCAATCAACCACAGTTAGTTCCATCTAACCATTGTTGGGCATAGAAGTACTGTCATTTGCAACCTCAGTGTTTGCTGTGCACCATTGCTAGTACATTATTTCATACATGTAGTGTGTTAATCCCATAGTTGTTTGAATCCATGGTTCTTGATAATAGCAAAAATAGGAACCTGAAAAATAAAAATGAAAACATGAAGATTATAATGGGTGGTGAAGCATGGCCATGCATGGTAATGGTGTCTGTGGTATTGTATGTACTTGGCATGCTGTTGTGTACTCGACAATGGTGTCACATGCTTAATCATGCATGTCAATGACATCACCATCAGGCACCATAACCACGACATTACCAGACATGGTTATAACACCCCCAAGCTTTATATTGTTGACCCCTTGGATGACAAAGCCATTGTCAATTAGATCTCCCCCCATGGCAACCCATTGTTATGCCTGAAGCGAAAACACCCCATTACAATTATGTACAATGGCATGTAATGGTACCTAGATTTTTCTGACAGAGTGAGCACAGTGACTCTGAAGATGATTTGTAATACAGTAGTAAGTGACATTTTTGACAAGCATCACTGTATCTCTAACAACACCCTAGCTTTAAGTTTAAGCATGGTGAACCCAATCCATCTGCAATCATGACAAGAACACCATGTGAACTCCTGTTCTTCACTAACCATCATGAGCACTTCATCAAGGGGAAAGCAAGGGAACAAGGTGAGTACCCCATCATCTATAAAACTGTCCCTCAAATGATTCTAATCTATTAAATCTAATTCAGATGAAAGAGAAGTTTCTTGAGAACTCTGGAATGAATCTGTCTGGAAACTCAGCAGCAACCCAGATCAACCTTGCAGAGGAGCAACCTGTACCAGCACCTGGCATAAATGGCAGCAGCAAGTCAAGGCCCAAACTTACTATCTGAACAGTATTGACAGTGATCAAGAAGATTTGGGTACCTTCTATCATTGGGCCCTCCTCATATGCCATGCAACCAGCTCTCACCAGCATACCTGAAGTGTCTCATTCTCATTCCTACCCATATGCCCAACAAGGGCAGTGTGGTGGGTCCACATTGGGTCCTTGCACATACCTCTGACCTGAGCTTGACTATGCCCTGCCCACACTTGCTGCAAGGTTTGTGTGCTCAGTGGCCCCTTGCCTTACTCCATACAGTGTACCATTGCAGCACACCAAGTTAGCACAAAGGTGGCTTTGGCCTGGAGAAATGACACCAAATGAAGCACAGGAGGTCCATGAAATCACCATCAATGCAAGAACTGGTCTGAAGTGAATTCTACTATCACAGAATCTCCTTCCTGACAGTAATGAGCTCATGACAATGATCAAACAGGATCTATATGATGCAGCAATACCATATGATTGAGATATGTGAGTATCTTATCAATGCATGATCTCTGACCACTGATATTTCTTACAGCCAGTTTCAAACACTGGCTGGAGCACAATGCCATGAAAGAAATGAAAAAAACTTCAAGATATCACAACAAACATCTGCAATGACTTCGAGAATGTTGCATGCATCTTAGTGCCCCTGCTATATAGACTAACCATCCATATACAATCTTTTGGACAAGAAGTCAGGTTGTGACAAGAACAGATACCCATCCTTTGTTCCATATATATGTGGTTGGATGAAGTTCTAATGGTAGGTCTCATCTTACAGTCCCAACATGCCCTGACTGTTTCATCTCAGAATGAGTATGGTACAAGCTGGGTGCCTTTCAGCCACCCAGCCCTCATTCAAACTGTGGTCACCCTGCTCTGGGGTGACAAGCAATGCCAGTGGTATCTTGACATTAATAGAAATTCTAGTACATAGGAGATATGACAAGTAATAGAATAGTGTCTTTGCACAAGTGGCTGTGCTGCCTTGCACCTTCTCTCTCTCCCCACTATCATCAGAATTCAGCCCACAGCATGGGCCTCACCTTGTTTCCTTTCACAACCCTGGTCACTCTGCTCCTTTAAACACTAACTGCATTATTCCCTAGCTTCCATTGAGAAACTCACTATCAGTAATCAGATCTCCCCATTTTGAACCACAAACATGGATGCCCCCCATCCACAGCAACAATTCTGACCAGATTTCATGCTACCAGCCTTCCAAGGTGTGGTCAACCTCATGATGGCAGGAGACCTGACCTCTGAACAGGCCATCAGGGCCCTGGAAGCACATTGGGACCAGGACAACCCCCAGGGAGATGAGCAACATGGAAACCAACCACAACAGGGAGAAGAAAGAAGGCCACCACCACCCAATGACCCACCACAGCCACCAGTAGCAGAACCTGACTGCCCCCCCCCAACAAGTCTCAGAGCAGAACGCCCCCACTTTTGACCACTTTTGACCCAGATACCATGGTATTGTCAAACCTACCAATGCAGCCAGTAGAGTATGCCATCAAGAAGATAGAATCCTTCAAATTCATCCACATGTGGTACTTCACAAGAGAGGGCCTCCAGGAAGCCACATGAACAGTGAGATGTCTCGAAGAGAATGACACTTTGGCCATCACCCAGGCTGGCAAAGGAAACATCACACTACATGCAGCAAATTCACTCACTGCCTCCAAAAACACCAGGCCAGACCACAACCTTTCCTTTGCTGAATATATGTATGCCAAGAACCACTTCCTTACCTGCATCAGGAATGCAGGATAGGGTAACCAGTTGGTAGATGCCTTCAACTGGTTTTTCCACAGGATTGAAAATCACCTCTGGCAAGATCAAGGCAATCATGGAGAATGTGCCCTTCTCCACTATGCCTCCAAGGTCAGGCAGGACTGGCATGGCAAAGTGGTACATGACCAAGCCTACAACATTGGAGTGATAAATGAAGAGCTACTGGCAGACATCATCATCATCAGCAAATTGTCAAGTCCCTGAGACATCTGGCCACAGATATCACTGATAATTTCAGGGGAGGCAGCCATCTCAGTCATGACAGATAAATGTATGAAGTCATGCATGTACCTTTCTGCCTCAGACAGATTTACCTGTCCACAGGTTGATCAGACTGCTGTCAGACTGTTACAGATGGAGGTGTAGTCTATACATCTGTCCTAGTCAGATCATTCAGCAGACAATACCAGACTTGAATACATTCTTTGTCAGACTGGCTACCATACCCTCTCCAGGTTCTTAGATCAGACAATCAGGTCATACTGTGTGTACATAGCAACAGTTCCAATCAATGCATCAGAACAATCAGATGATATTTATTTTAGTCTTCGAAGATCACACCCTACCTACCACAAGTAATCTACTTCAGCATGGTAATTACTCTTCATCCTATGATTCACAAATAAATTAGTCCAGCATCAATTCCAGGACCTACTCGCATCAAGGAAAGAAAGCATACCTCCAAGAGCTTGATGTCAGATGACACCACAATCTGCATGTGGTCATCTTGGTATCCTGCATCTGGGGTGGCTGCCCTTGCTTGGCTTCCAGTGGTGCAATGGTGCAAACCATGGGACTGCTGGGCCTCTGCAAGGATTTCCACATATTTCCTCTTCTTGATCCTTTGATGGATTCAATATAATAAAGCATCTTGGTACCCCAATGAGTGTCAGAGAAGCTCAGCTCAGATTTCTTCATAGCCACATCCTTTTTGCCAGTATGATACATATGTAATGTGTGCTTGACCTATGAAAGCAGAGTCAGTGATCTCAAACTCTGGATATTTGATTTGAGTGCACTGCAGTGACTGTGAGGACGAGTGTGCTGGGTGGGTTGTCATTAGTGAACACAGTGTATAGCTCAGAATTGCCTTCAATAAGAGCAAGGAGAGACAAGTGGGCTGCAAACATCTGTAGTATGAGAGGAGTAAGGAATGCCTTTGACATCTACAGACCCCAGAAGATGTCCTCAGCAGCTTATAAACCACAAAGTTCAATGCCACCTACCAGAACAATGTCATTCTCATAATGGTCAATTTTCCCATAAAGGAAAGGAAGTCTAGGACCTAGTGCATACTCAACATATGCTTTACAGTCCTCTGGGTCAAAGTATTTCTTGTCTGAGGCCCAGAGAGCTTCCATGGCTTCTAATGTGGCTTTTCTGAGTGCCTTATGCCAGTCATATATCTTTTGCATGTACTATCATATTCATGAAGTATTAGTGATAGCCATCTAAGGATGCAGGACTTATGAGACAGTAGATGAGTGTTGGAACATAAAGTGCCCCTGTGGTACTTGACCACTGTCACAGCGAGTTTTCCACTATATAGTACCCTGTTATATGTAATACAATATGTCAATCTCACACTTAGGGTTTGTGATGGCATACTGAAACAATCCATACTCGAAGTTTAGATCCTGTTCTACATGTTTACTCAGGTTTGAAGTCAGAGCAAATGTCTAATCATTGTGTAAACAATAAGTATGGTTGAATAGCAGATGTTGTCCAAGATAGGAAGTTATGTCAACACATGCAGTGTGGGGTGAAACTTTGTGCTTGCACTTGAAGTTTCACCACTGTCCATACTAATCACCTGACAGTCACCTGTTCATCACCCAATGATCACCCTATGGTCACACAACAGTCGCCCAGTGTGATCATCCTATAATTATTGTAGCTATTGTTACATGGTTGTCATATTTTCCTAAGTAGATCCTACAATTTTTCTTCCATGATGCCTTGACATTTGTCAGTCCTATTGTTGCAAGAATTCAACAGTCAAATCAGAGTGGCATGAGACAGAGTTTCACTCACTTGACTCAATGTAAGAATGACAACATGGTTATCAGATATCAGCCACCATGCATAGTGACTCATAACCCATGATACCTCAACTTTCTCCAGTGTTGTGGAAAGCATGTAGCTGTAGGTCTTTGCTGGGAAATGTGGGTAGCATGCAAAGGGGTCATTTGTGCCTTTTTTCAAAACATGGGGACACTTCCAACAGACAGCAAATGCAGACCATCCATCCTGTTCATATATGTATTTGATGCTTGCAGGAACTGGAGGCAAAGATCAGTTGCCTGACAGGTGAATCAGAGCAAGTACCACAGGAACCAGAGGTGAGATCCATCACCTGATCGGTGAAACATAATCAGAGAGTTTCCTACATGAGTGGCAGTGCAGCTATAGACCACTCTGCCATATCTGATATGGGCCTGCAGCATCACATCCTGTTTATGAATGAAGTTGTACAGGTCTGGAGGGGTAGCAGTGTAGGGAATGAAGACCTTTTCCCTATGAGAAATCACTCCTCTGGTGTGTTAAAGGGAAGGTTTGAGGATGGAGAGTGTAGGTGAGGGTCAAAGAGGGTTCAGACTTAGGGGTTGTGGCTGAGGGAACTTGGTGTCAAAAGGTCGAGAGCTGACTAAGCACATGGGTGGTCATGGCATGTGCCACATCACATAGAGACTACAGTACAGCATGGACAAGGATTACTGTCCTACACATCACTGTCTACTCTGTGTCCTTCTTTGGAGAGCAAGAATCACTGCTTCAGCTCCTTCTGCCAAGTTCTTCTTTGCAGTCTAGAAAATCCTCCCAGGCAAGTTCCCTTTTTGTTCATCTAAAGTACTTATTCTGCATCCAGACTGAGGCCCCTTCAGGGTTGACCCAACTTGAGCAGAGCCTACCTCTCTGGAGTTGGAGTTCTTGGCCATCAGAAAACAGTTTCCCTACAACTTGGAGCCCACCATGATGGGCTTCAACCAACAACCAGGAAGTAAAGTGCAACCTCAGGCAAATGGAAGCTAGGGTTGCCCACAAGGAGAGACACAAGAAAGTGAAAGAAGCACTCAAATCAAGGAAGAAAGCAATGCCTCCCCATTTAGCTAAGTCATCTCTAGGGAAGCTCCCCACTGAAGTTCCTCTTCCAGAATCCCCAGAACCAGAAGAGCCAAAACAGACCCAAGAACCTGGTTTCACAGAATATCAAACACTGGCACCAGTTATTGGATCAAACTCAGAAACATCATTCAGTTTGACAGAAGAAGCAGTGAAGCTCCTACAAGAACCACCTTCACCACTCACAGAATTACCCCTCACAGTATTCATAGAGGAGCCTGAAGACATTCCATTTTCCATTCCTATGTTTACAGGAGCAAAAGTTGACACTACCAGCTTAGAGGACATGCACAAAGCAATCTGGGATGATGGGCAACTGATGAGCCCATTGAAGTTTGCAATGCCTAAGAAGGAAAAGGAAGAAGAGTTAATGCCATTTATGACCTACTGGGACAAGAGAAAGGAAAGGGTGACAGAGAAGTTGCCAGACAGAATCTATGTCAATGACCCAAAAGTTGCAGTCCACTGAGGGTGGACCAGAGAAAGGTTGACAACCAGAGAAAGGTCACCCTTGAGGATGAGGATGAGGGTGAAGTCAAGACATAGGTCAGGACATAGGGAGAGGTCATCCTTGAGGTTGAGGTCAAGACACAAGCCCAGGTACAGATTGACTTCCAGGTCAAGTTACAGGACAAGGCACAGGTCAAAGTCCCATCACCACAGACATAAAAGATTGGACAAGTTGAGAAGTAGACACCATAGGAGGTCCTACTCCATGGACAGTTCATTGAGTGACTCAAGCAAGGAGGAGGAAAGGAGAAGAAGGTATTACAGGCACAAGGAGAAAAAGCATGAGAAGGAAGTTGCTTAAGGTATAGGTCTCTGTCTACAGAAGCATGGGAGCCAAGGAGGAGAACAGCCCAGCCAGAAGAACTATCTGAGGGGCAATGTATCCTTAGGCTTCTTGGACAAGGCATCCTTGCATCTGAAAAACCCAAGCTGCTTGAGAAAATTCACTCTAGGTCTTCAGACAAAGCACCCAAGTTTTCAGGGAAAACAGCCAATCTGGTTTGTTATCTGGAAGAAATTCATCACCTGTGTAAGAAGGCAGGGTGTACAGATGAGTACAAGTGGTTGAAGTGGGCTATCTGGTATCTGGACAACCATACAGTGAACCTGTGGACACAGCTCCTGGAAGAGATGACAGGTAGATGGGACAAGTTTGTGCAAGTGCTGGTGAATGTGTACCCTGGTGCAGGAGAATGAGAGAAGAGATACATTAAAGTGGACCTGATTGATCTTGTTTGAGCACAGTCCAGGAAGATTATAGCAACAGAAGAAGACCTTGGAGAGTACCTTTGGCAGTATGAGACCATTGTGGGCTATCTCAACAGACACTACAAGCTCACCCAAGAAGACTACAACAGTTACTTCTGGGAGGGCTTGGACCTGGAACTTCAGAAAGATACACTTGAGAATTTGAAATTTAGGAACAGTTTATGTGATTTGGATGAACCCTGGCCTATGAACAAGGTCATATGAGAAATAAAAGAGTTGCTGAGGGATGGATACCATATGACAAGAAGCTGTGCTGTGAGGAGGGGCATCATTCAGTTATCACCCAGGGAGGAAGCCAGGAGGATAGTGCACAAGTTAGTCCAGAGACAGCCTCAGGTTCAAGTGGAAGCACAGGCCCAGTGAAGGGCAGCACCTGTACAGGCCAGAAACATTGTTGAAGGAGCACATGAGCTGCCTTGAGAAATAATCTGCTTTTTCTGCTTCCTTCAAGGACACCACACAAGGACTTGTTGCATGCTGGAAAGGTATTGTGCAGCTGGCAGGTGTGTCATTGAAGACAATAGGGTAAAGTTCAATGACAGCATGCATGTTCCTCAGACAGATGAGTTGATGTACCAGTTGATAGATGAGTGGATGGCAAGAGACAGGAGGAGGAGAGAAGAGCAGCAAGCACCCATCATTTGTATTGAGCATGAAGAGGAACCTCCAACAAACACAAATATGTTTGTAGCAGTGCACAATGCTTTCCAATACATTGAGAGAGCTAGGATCAAAGAGCTTGCTTCAGAAGGAGAGGACATGGCTGAGGAGGTCATCTTGGAAACAGAGTATGAAGTGTGACTGGCAGAATTAGAACAAGCATTTGCAGCAGCACAAAGGGAAGAGAATAAGCTGCAGTGAAAGGCCCTGAAGTTTGATAGAGTAGTGGTACCTGGAAAAGAAAGACATACAGTGACCATGACAGCAGAGCAGGCAGGACCTAGTTGGCCCAGCTTAACAGATGCTCCTGAAGCAAGTTCGAAGGATAAGGGAAAGCAACCAGACAGAAGTGCTGGCAGGTCACTAGGACCTACCTCTATTCCCAAAAAGCAGCAGCATGGCATGGAAGATCAGGATGCAGGAAGGAAAGGCTATAGGTATACAAGTTTGTTCAAAGACCCTACAGAAGTGATGAGGGTTTTGAACCAGTACCTGGACCAGACCATTACAATTCCAGGAAGAGATCTACTTGCTATAAGTCCAGATGTTAGGAGGGAGTTCAATGACCAAGCAATAATGAAGTGAGTAGTGCTTGGTGCTACCTTCTCAGGCATGTTGGGAATGCTGGAAGGGTTGGTGCAGTCAAATGACATGAGGGATTTTGAGTGCAGTATAGGAGAAGAGAGGTTTGCACAGATGGATTTAATGCCACTTACAATGGTAGAGGTTGAGCTGGCTGGGAAGGTCATGCTCGAAGGGATCCTCAACAGTGGTTCGCAGATAGTGGCTTTGCGACAGGAAATAACTGAAGTTCTGTGTCTCCCCATCGAGAGAGATAGCTGAATCATTATGGAAGCTGCAAACCAGTTGAAAGACAAAACACTGGGCCTGGTGTGAGATGCTTCACTCAGGATCAGTCCAGTGGAAGTGGAAGTGCCAATTCAAGTCATCAAGTTGGCCCCCTTCAATATCCTCCTGGGCAGGCTGTTCCTATGTGCGATTTGGGCTAGGACACAAGACTTTAGGAATGGGCAACAGACTCTTGAGTTTACAGATCCAGAGACAGACAAGGGGATCCAAATCTCACTGCCACCAAGAAGGTCCCTCACACAGTTCCCTCAGTTTAGGGATGTGGTTTTGCAGAAGGAGTATGTTCAGAGGATAGGGTGCAAACCCCATAGGATGCAATGTCGACCTCAGGATGAGGGTTTTTAGACTTCATCTGGGACTTGAATAGCCATTGAGGAGACATTTCGATGGGATTGGCCACCCCTGTAAGGCTGGGGTATCTTGCTCCGCCTCTAGCAGCATACAAGAACAAATCAAGTACATATGTCTTGGACTTTGACTTGCAGTTTCAAGATATAACTGAAAATTGAAAACAAGAATCGACATTAGACAGAGGTGACCAGCCATAGAGTTCCTTTTAGATTGAGCATGAATGATGCACTGACTTTTCCCACAGGTATAGAAATTGAATCACAAGTTGTTTATCATAGAGACACAGGACAGTATCAAAGGGAGGAACCCTTGGGGGCAAGAATGGAAGGTAGCAAGGTGATGTTTGTGATGACAGAGGAGGACTTTGAGTCCTTGGGTTTACATTTTGAATCTTATTCAGTAGAGAGTCTGACCACCGAGCTACAGGATGGATAAAGCAGGTGATGAAGTACAAACCTGTGGCAAAGAAGGCTTGGCTGGTTGCAACAGAGACACTGGCAGAGTTTAGAGTTGAGAGAAGAGAAGTGGGGGACCCATTGGCTAACCTCCCCCAGATACCAGTTATTCCCCCAGAGTTCACATCCAGGGAACAACTTACCCAGGAGCGAGCAGACAAGTTTGAATGGGACCCAGGCAGATTTTTATGGCCTGAAGAACTCAAACTAGTCAAGTGGCTAGTATGAGTCCATGAGAAGGCCTTTGCTTGGGACATGAGCAAAAGGGGGACATTCCAAGAAGGCATGTTCCCACCTCTCAAGATTCCAATGGTTCCACACAAGCCATGGGTAGATTGGAATATCCCCATTCCACTGGCAATCTATGGAGATGTCATGCAAATAATCAAAGAGAAGATTGCAGCAGGAGTTTATGAACCATTGACTTTGTCTTATTGATCGAGATGGTTTTGCATAGTGAAGAAGGATGGGAAATCACCACAGCTGGTCCATGACTTACAGCTGCTCAATGTGGTCTCAATACAGCATTCAGGAGTTCCCCCACATGTGGACAGTATTGTGGAAGAATTCACAGGACACACAGTGTATGGCATGTACAACCTTATGGTCAGTTACGACCACTGAATGATCCATGAAGACTATCACAACCTTATGGCCTTTCAAATGCCAATCAGCACATTCAGGTTGACCAAACTCCCCATGGGCTACATGAACACTGTACAAGTGTTCCAGGGGATGTGTCATTTACACTCAGGGAGGAAACACCAGAAGTAACCATGCCATTCATTGATGACATACCAGTAAAAGGACTGTGATTGAGGTATATGTGAGAGGATGGAACATATGAAATGATCAAAGGGAATTTGGGAATCAGGAGGTTTGTATGGGAGCACCTTGTCAATACTAATCGAGTTCTACAGTGCCTTGAGCACATTGGAGCTACTGTCTCTGCAAAGAAATTTGCAGTGGCAATCCAGTCTATCACTGTAGTGGGACACAAGCTTTCATATGAAGGCTGAATACCCAATGAATCCAAGGTACAAAAGATTTGAGATTGGCCCTATTGCAAGAATGTCATGGAAGTGTGAGGTTTCTTAGGCCTCTGCAGCTACTGTTGCATCTTCATTTGAGACTATGCAAAAAGGGCAAAACTGTTGATCAAATTGACCAAGAAGGGAGTAGTCTTCAGATTTGACAAAGTACATGAAGCAGCAATGGATGACTTGAAGGAAGCACTTGCCAACTTGCCAGCATTGAAACCGATAGATTACAAGTCAGGATGGCAAGTCATTCTGGCTGTGGATACCTTGCACATGGCAGTAGGCTATCTACTTTTACAGGTCAGAGAAGATTTGAAGCATTATCTGTCAAGGTTTGGGTTGATCACATTTGATGAAAGGGAAAGTCAGTATAGCCAGGTGAAGCTAGAATTGTTCAGTCTATTTCATGTGCTTCAGGACATACATGACCACATATTCAGAGTCAAAGATTTAGCTGTGGAAGTTGACACCAAGTATATCAAGGGTATGATCAATAACCTGGACCTGCAACTGATTGCAACCATCAATCAATGGATTGCTGGTATACTTCTCTTTGAGTTCAAACTGATACACATACCAGTGGAGAAGCAAGAGGCCCAGATGGATTATCAAGGAGACCTCGAGCAGATGAGGATCCAGAACCAGAGGATGATTATGAAGACTGGATTGATGAGGCAGGATCATTCACAGTTGAACTCCTCAACTGTCAGCATGGTGAACAAGAAGAAGCCTTTTTCCAAAGTCAAAAGATTGTTGAGCTGAAACATGGATGGATCCCCTATGTTGGAGAGCAGAGGTCAGAGAAGTCAAACAAAGTGACTGAGACCCAGGTGGTTTTATCACAGGCATCAGGGACAGATGCTACCACTGATATAGAAATCCCTAGGACAGAGAAAGGGAAGTGGCAAGATGAATGGTTGGAGGTAGTTTGCAAGTTCCTCAAGGATCAACAGTGACCACCTGGAATGTCAGACTTAGATCTGAACTTGCTAATCAAGTACATGGTGAGATTCTTCTTGAAGAATGGAGAACTATGGCACTAAGAACTGAGGGGACAGCATCAAGTAGTACCTGCATATGAGAAGTGCTTGGAGCTGATGAAACAAATGCACAATGATTTGGGTCACAAGGGAGTGTTCCACACTAAGTTGAGATTACTGATTCACTTTTGGTGGCCATCACTAGATTGAGATGTATGATGGTTCCTCCATTCCTGCCATGAATGTCAAATTCAATGCATGGACAAGATACATATCCCACCTGTGGTAGCCATGCAGGAGCCTCTGTTTTACAAGGCATACATGGATTCGATGGTGATGCTGAAGTTGAATGGGTTCCAGTACATTGTACAAGCTAGGTGTTCTCTGACTTTGTATCCCAAGTGGCAGATGCTGCATGCAGAGACAGGACAAACCTTAGGTTGATTCATATTTGAACAGATCCTGTGTCAGTGGGGTACCATGGGGGAGATTGTCACAGACAATGGTTCTGTGTTCAAACAAGCCCTTGCCTACCTTGCAAAGAGGTACAATATCAGGCATATAAAGATCTTGGCATACAATTCTCAGGCCAATGGAGTTGTTGAGTGAAGGCATCTAACCATTTGAGAAGCTCTTGTCAAGACTTGTGAGGGCAAAGTGGGCAAATGGTCATTGTATGCACTGTCAGTGTTCTGGGCCAAAAGGGTGCGGACACAAAAGTTGACAAAGCTTTTGCTACATCAGATGGTCCATGGGATTGAGCCAAGGTTGCCATTCAACTTTGCTGAAGTGACCTTTCTGACAAATTGGGACAAGGATAAGTATTCAACCAAAGAACTGATATCAGATAGATGCCACCAGCTGCAGTGAAGACAAGAAGACTTACAGTGGGATTGTCAACAAGTATACAAGGCACAGTGCCAGACAGCAAAGGAATTTGAGTGGAGGGTAAAGGGGTCAATATGAAGCTATGAGTTCAAACCAGGAGCACTAGCCTTAGCTCACAATATGAGAGTTGAAAAGGAACTTGACTGCAAGATGAAGCCAAGATACTTAGGCCCCATGGTAGTCATCAGGTGAACTGAAGGAGGCTCCTACCTATTAGCTGAGTTTGATGGCTCAATTTCTCAACTTCGATATGCTGCATTCCACTTACTCCTTATTATTCAGGAAACAAATCTTGATAGCAATAAAGGAACTCATGAACCAAAGCAAGGAAGAGCTGCACAAGCTCAAAGAGGAGTCAATAGAGGATGAATTGATCCCTGAAGCCAAAGACATCCTGTGAGAAGAGGACATCGAAGGGAGCAAGCCAGGTGAGAGTATCTGAAACCTGATATCAGTGTGCTTGTTCAACTGAGGCACTTCAACTATCAGCTCAAATTCAAGCATAATTTGGTGTGACCAGCATTGGACTTGTACCTTTAGCAAAAAAAAAATATGTCACAGCTTTTGAACATTTGATAAGCACTGATCAATTCTGTGTTGGACAGGACTGTACATGAGGTACAATGATGGGGCTGTTGAAGCCCAGAAACAAAATAATGCAAGCTACTTAGTCATGTGACTTTCTTTTGCCCAGTGCCTTCTTGGACATGACATGGCCCTTTGAGGCCTGGTCCAACACTTCAGTCATGGTGCAAAGGGATTTGTAAAGCATGACCAGCATCTCAGCATTGGAGAGTGAAGGCAGTGAGGAAGGGGAACTGGAGGTTGAGGTGATTGGAGCCAAATTGGAGGAGGATGCACCAGAAGTCAAGGGAGAAGGAGTTGGACTGGGAGATGGAGACTTGATGTGAGCACATTTTGAAGCATATGCAGGCCTTTGGGTGATTTCAATGGTGGATTTGGCAGGGTACCAAGGAGGAGTGAGAGCTGGAGGGGTAGAGCCCATGCAAAGCACCTGGACCCAGGCTCAGGACTGTGCTGAGTCATTCTAGGGCAGCATCAACAAGAGGGCTTTTAGGTCGAAGAGAGAGGAGGAAAACACACACATATAAAGGGCAGGTATAATGAAGTTGGTGGCAGCACACACACTTGAGCCCTAGGGCTCCAGAACAGACAGCTCAAGCAACATGACACCAGTTGCAAGGGATGGGTGGGTAGATAGGAAAGCCACTGTCCTTCGAAGTGTGCTCAATGAGCTTGATGTGCCAATCCAGCCAGTAAACATGCCATTGGAGACCAGATTCCCCAAGATGGTCCACATTCTGGACCTTGAGAAGTCAGCTAAGGAGCAAAGAGGGATGAAAGAAGTTAAGGCTCACTGAAGGGCAATCAAGGGATGTGTGGCCAGTCAAGGGAGAGTCAGCAGGAAGATGGTCTGGGCCAGGCTCAGATGCATTGAGCACCTGGTGGGTGGGTGTGGTAGGATCTGCCAGCATGGCAGCATCTGAGATAGAGGTTGGATGGTCAGGTGAAGTGGTTGGTGTGAGAGGAGGTGGAGGGTCCAGAGGACCAGGGAGTGAAGGAGAGGGTGTGCAAGACAGTGCAACAGTGGACATGGACATGGACATAGATGATGGGATGTCTGGGAGCATGTTGAAGGTTGGAAGATCAAGAGCAGGGCTAGGGTCCAGATCTTGGACAATGACAGTCATAGGCATGGGCTCCATGGGGGTGTGGTCAACCAAGGCAGTGGTGGCCACAGGTGCCAGTTTGTCTTGAATGACATCAACAGGAGGAGCATTGACTGGTTGCATGGGGGAGATGATGGCTTGGGGCTTGGAAACTGGAGGAGGTGGCAATGGTCCCTAGGGTGATGGGTAGTGTCAATGGAATGATGGTCAAGAAAAAAAAAAGGGAAAGGGAACACACCATGAGGGATGCCAGTTGTGCCAGCAATGCATTCCTTGACTCAGTCCCACCCTATGATGATCCCAGTAGAAGGTGGAGGACAGAGGTGGCATGTGTGAGGTTGTCAGCTGGGATGCCAGCATTGGGATATGAGTTGTTGGGATTGGACAACATGGGAGTAAGGGCAAGAAAAAGATGAGTGAGGAAAAATGGAGGGAATGTGCAAGGTGGCTTAGATAAGAGGAAGGGGAGAGCAGTGGGAAGTTGATCAAACCAGATCAATTATCACTGGAAGTCAGAACCTTTGCTTGATGCAGCAGCAGTTTTATGGTCTCAACACACACAAAGAGCCATAGCACTCTTGTTATATTCTTGTTTCTTTTTCCAGATGCTACAAACTCAAGGTGAAGTGCTTTTTATGATTTGAGTGTATACTATGTTGAAATGTCTTGTTTTCAGCACTGGGAAGGCAGAGAGTGAGAATGGAATGCTCTCAGAGGTATATAGACAAATGTGTCACTGATGGAGTCTACAGGTACATACGAAGAAACAGGGATACTGGAAATGCAAGTCAAAGGCTGCTGATATCATTATGCACCACAACATTCACTCCCATGCATGATGCACAAATCCAGGAGTTGGGAGAGGGGCCAGTGTACCATAGAAAGAATGTGGTGTAGAGCAGAAGAAGCCTCCCTGGGTTCAAGTATATAATAGTCTTCAAGCTGGGTCATATGGACAGAGGGTCACTGCCCCAGCCACCATGCTGTGTGAATACCCTGTTGCCATTCTACTGCTGGCTGCATTTCAATGAATTGTTCCTACCTCACTCCACACTTGATTTATCACTCACTTGTTTGCTTGTTCAAAGTGCCTTGATTGTCATCCAGGTAAGAGGCTAGCTTTGGAGATGTGGAATATTGAGGGCATGAGGTGAGGGAGAAGGTACTGGAGAGTTGGCTATGAGGAACCTTGGGCACTTCAGTCAACCCCCCTTGGAGACCTATTAGGTCTGGAGATTTTGATATAAGTATTAACCTAATAGGTGTCATTTTGTTGGGGATTCTCCACCACCATTCCTGGAGATTCTCCAGGGCAGCAATTTAATATGGTTGGAGAAAATGTTTTCTCTGTAACATATATATATTATACATCAAATGAAAGGGTAGCTGGGGTTGAAATTGGACTTTCTCCAGGCTAAATAGACCCCCTTTCCAGGTTGATCCTGGGCTTTCCCCAGGCTAAATAGACCTACATTCTAGGCTGACTTGGGTTTCCCCAGGGTAAATAGACCTGCTTTCCAGGCAGAACATGGGCTTCCCATAGGCTAATTAGACCCCTTTCCAGGGTGAACCTGGGTTTTCCCCAGGCTAAATAGACCCACTTTACCAGGCCATGTCCTGGTGGGGATTCTCCATGCATCAGGAAAACAGTGGTTGTTCTAACTGTTCTAATCACAACTTATCTCAGAAAGGTAGATGTATAAGTGGAATGGATGCCAAGGAACATATAGAGCAAGTGAATTAAGCAAGACACATATGGTTCTATAGAGCACTGTCAAGTCTGAGCCTACTCTGACCAACTCTGATGCTTAACCAGGTCTGGAGAGAGGTGTGGAAGCAAGTCTGACACAGATGAATGGAACTCTGACTAGTGGAGGATTCTCCATATCATGAACAGATCACATGATAGGGGGTCACATGTTTTTGGTCACATGACCCAAAGGTGTCCTGAGCATGACACCATCTCAGTCATGTGACATATATATTGTCACATGACATTGGCACTGCAACCTGTGGTCACATGAGAATCTGCCACAGAGTCAGCAGGGGCTTGGTCATGTGACATTAGTCATGTGATCTGGTGCCTTTGGTCAGTGCAAAGGTCCCTCACATGACAAGGGTCATGTGATCTGGCACTCTGGCTCATGGCAAAGATGTGTCATGTGACTGCAATCATGTGATCTGGAGCTTTGGCTCACTGCAAAGGTTTGTCATGTGACCTCAATCAAGTGATCCAGTGCCTCAGCCCACCACAAAGGTCTGTCACATGCTCCCAATGGTCACACAGTGACATGAACCTTGGGTCATGTGATATCATGTGACTGTAGTCACTTCATTTTCAACACTATAAACCTCCATTCACTTCTCCATGTATTGGTCTGTACTTTGGTGGGTGGGCCAGTCTATAGAGTATCTACACCATGTCCAAAAGTCAACCAATCAACCCTTCTAGTTGATGAGTGATAACAGGAATGAAAAATGCCAGAAACCATTCCACCATGTCTCCCTCACTGAGTGGATGCCATATTCAATAGATTGGCTGCATTCTCCATGTCTACCTCCACCTATGTACAGGGTTTCAGGGTGGTCCATTGGGAATTGAGTGAACAGGAAGCCAATTACACATCCCAGATGCATGGGAAAACCCCAAACAGTGCAAATAAAATAGTGGAGATTTCCAAAACATATCAAAAACATTTCATTGCTTGCTCCCCAGTTGGGCTTTGACTACCAGAATTGAGGTGTGGCATGGTGGAGCATGCTCCATGAAACTGGGACCATGTGCCTTGCAGTAGCATCCCCTCACAGCCACAGAAATGCGAAATGGTCCAATGCTACACTTTGTAATGATCATAACAAAGCTATAAATCACTAGTAGAGTTGTTGGCCAGATCTGCCCATTCACATTTCTGTCACTTTGAGGGGCTGCTGCTGCTAGGAACATGGTTTCAGTATGATGGGGCATGCCCCCCCCCATGCCACACCTGAATTTTAGTAGTCATAGCCCCACTGCAGAGTGACCAATGAAATGTTTTTGATATGTTTTGGAAATCTCCACTATTTTATTTGCACTGTTTGGGGTTTTCCCATGCATCTGGGATGTGTAATTGGCTTCCTGTTCACTCAATTCCCAATGGACCACCCTGAAACCCTGTACATAGGTGGAGGTAGACATGGAGAATGCAGCCAATCTATTGAATATGGCATCCACTCAGTGAGGGAGACATGGTGGAATGGTTTCTGGCATTTTTCATTCCTGTTATCACTCATCAACTAGAAGGGTTGATTGGTTGACTTTTGGACATGGTGTAGATACTCTATAGACTGGCCCACCCACCAAAGTACAGACCAATACATGGAGAAGTGAATGGAGGTTTATAGTGTTGAAAATGAAGTGACTACAGTCACATGATATCACATGACCCAAGGTTCATGTCACTGTGTGACCATTGGGAGCATGTGACAGACCTTTGTGGTGGGCTGAGGCACTGGATCACTTGATTGAGGTCACATGACAAACCTTTGCAGTGAGCCAAAGCTCCAGATCACATGATTGCAGTCACATGACACATCTTTGCCATGAGCCAGAGTGCCAGATCACATGACCCTTGTCATGTGAGGGACCTTTGCACTGACCAAAGGCACCAGATCACATGACTAATGTCACATGACCAAGCCCCTGCTGACTCTGTGGCAGATTCTCATGTGACCACAGGTTGCAGTGCCAATGTCATGTGACAATATATATGTCACATGACTGAGATGGTGTCATGCTCAGGACACCTTTGGGTCATGTGACCAAAAACATGTGACCCCCTATCATGTGATCTGTTCATGATATGGAGAATCCTCCACTAGTCAGAGTTCCATTCATCTGTGTCAGACTTGCTTCCACACCTCTCTCCAGACCTGGTTAAGCATCAGAGTTGGTCAGAGTAGGCTCAGACTTGACAGTGCTCTATAGAACCATATGTGTCTTGCTTAATTCACTTGCTCTATATGTTCCTTGGCATCCATTCCACTTATACATCTACCTTTCTGAGATAAGTTGTGATTAGAACAGTTAGAACAACCACTGTTTTCCTGATGCATGGAGAATCCCCACCAGGACATGGCCTGGTAAAGTGGGTCTATTTAGCCTGGGGAAAACCCAGGTTCACCCTGGAAAGGGGTCTAATTAGCCTATGGGAAGCCCATGTTCTGCCTGGAAAGCAGGTCTATTTACCCTGGGGAAACCCAAGTCAGCCTAGAATGTAGGTCTATTTAGCCTGGGGAAAGCCCAGGATCAACCTGGAAAGGGGGTCTATTTAGCCTGGAGAAAGTCCAATTTCAACCCCAGCTACCCTTTCATTTGATGTGTAATATATATATGTTACAGAGAAAACATTTTCTCCAACCATATTAAATTGCTGCCCTGGAGAATCTCCAGGAATGGTGGTGGAGAATCCCCAACAAAATGACACCTATTAGGTTAATACTTATATCAAAATCTCCAGACCTAATAGGTCTCCAAGGGGGGTTGACTGAAGTGTCTTGGGGGCATTGGTGAGAGTAAGGGAAGGGTTCGAAGGGTGCAGTGTGGACTCGAGATTGAAGGGACATGTTGTTGGAGGAAGAGGGGGTTGAGTGTGGGGTAGAAGGTAGCACAGAGCAAAGCGAGTGAGGGGAAGGCAAGCAGAGTCAGAGGGTGTGGGGTGTGAAGAAGGGGTTAGTGAGGATGGGTATGAAACCAAGGACATCTATGCAGGGAGAGGGGATGACTGAGGATGGTCATCATCTAAACCCCCCCTTGGATGTAGGGAATGCAGACCTTTTCCCTAAGAGAAATTGCTCCTCTGGTGTGTCAAAGGGAAGGTTTGAGGATGGAGAGTGTGGGTGAGGGTTGAAGAGGGTTCAGACTTAGGGGTTGTGGCTGAGGGAACTTGGTGTTGAAAGGTCAAGAGTTGACTAAGCATGCAGGTGGTCATGGTGCATGCCATGTCACATAGAGACTATGGTACAGCATGGACAAGGATTGCTGTACTGTACACATCACTGTCTACTCTGTGTCCTTCTTTGGAGAGCAAGAATCACTGCTTCAGCTCCTTCTGCCAAGTTCTTCTTTGCAGTCTAGAAAATCATCCCAGGCAAGTTCCCTTTTTGTTCATCTGAAGTACTTATCCTGCATCCAGACTGAAGCCCCTTCAGGGTTGACCCAACTTGAGCAGAACCTACCTCTTCTGGAGTCAGAGTTCTTGGCCATCAGAAAACAGTTTCTTACAGCAGTTGACTTCCTTGTCTGGGAACAATCAGATTCATATTCATTGTCATTGCCATAAGCATGATCTAAGAGGACCTTGCATTCTTGGACTGCATTGGGACAGTCCAGGCAGGAGAGCCAGCTTCGGAGGCATGCACCCCTGAAATAGGAATGTAGCATTGTTGCCTCCAATTCACCTGTATGAAATGAGAATAATGTCTTCCCAAAACTGACATTGTTTGACTCACCAGATTTGTGGTTGGTGGGGAGACACTGGAGAACACTGATTAAGTGCTTGAAAGGAAAGGTCCACCATGAATGGACAGGTCCAAAAAGGATAAGGTAGTCATGTATATGAAAGGCAGCATGATGATTTGGACACAAGTTGAATGTTGGATGTACTTGTTTCAAGTTCCCAACATAAGATGCAATGCATGAGCAGTATGCATTAGCCCTTTGAGTACTCATTATCTGGGAGCATGTGATGTTAACCAGGGAAACAAGGTCCATAGTATGGTCCAGAATAAACTTGTTGCCCAGCTTCAGTTCATCAACATCAGGTGCTCCCCACAAGCTGATGAGGGCAAGAGAGATATGAACAGTGATGAGTGTCTGCCACTCATCTGCTTTAATTGTTCCAGCAGATGGATGGCCAAAGTTGGCTGGTGGTGAACTGAACCATGATGGCAGTACTGTGTTCTGTATAACATTGCAGTTTGGGACACAACTTCTGGGAAGTGTGTGACTAGAGGAAAGCTGAAGGGAGAATTCCCTTGGTTCACCCCAAGGGGTGCTGCATGGAAGGAGAAATTGAGGATTACCCTAGAAGGGGGTGGGGAAATTCATGTGAGGTGCATGGAATTTAATTCTGGAGGCTTGTTGACATGCAAGCAATGGCAAGCTGGGTATTCAGAATATCAAGAGACAGATATGTGATGAGAAGACAGGATCAGAGATACCAGGAAGGGTGTAATAGACTGGAAAACATGAGTAGTGTAGGGGAAATTAGAGACACTGTAGATGCTGTAGA